CTCCCTGGGATCGACTCCCCACAGGGGAGCCTGCTTCTCCCTCTGCCTACGTCTGTATCTCTCATGAATAAATAAATAAAAGCTTTCAATTAATTAATTGGGGGTAAAAAATTGTTTTGTACTTTTAATTTTTACTTGAAATGTTTCTAACACCTCATGTCAATAAGCCGTATTTTTATATATATAATCATCTTAATGGATGCCAACACATGATATGCTAACTGGCCTGCGCTTCCTCCCCTTCCTGAGCACAGACCCTCTCCACCTCTTTAAGCCTCTGCCTTCCAGATTCCTGTTTTAATGGTACCTACCACCATGGCTTTAAAAAAAATGAATCCAAAGTCCTCCCTCTGTGTTTCCTTTCTTAATTCCATTTCCTTTCCTACCCGAGTAACCATTGTTTTAAAGTCAGGGCTTCTCATTCCCCAGGCCTGAATGTTTCTCCATTACTATCTCCAACTGTATCTATCAACAAAGTGTTGTATGGCTTTGTAGGCTTTAAACCCCTCCTGCTCTACACATTGTTCTGCAGGTTGCTTTCTTCACTCACAATGATGCTGCTGACTTTTATCCAGGTTGTTGCACGTAACTTTCATTTATTCATTTTTAACTCCTATCTGGTGTTTCATTATATGAGTATATCACAATTGACTCATTCATTTCCTACTGATAGTAAAGATAAAGAATGATGCTGTCTTCTTGGGTAATCTGGAAGACTTTCTTTAGGGTCCATACCCAGGACCAGAATTGCAGGGTGGAAGGGTGTATGTATTTTTATTATTATTATTCAATTTAAACTAAGACTAAAACAAAACAAAAATAGTTCACCCATTTCTCCCGCCCCAACCTCCCTCCTCTGGCAACCACTAATCTGTTTTCTGTACCGATGAGCTTAATTTGTATACACATATTTTTTCTAGATTCCACATATAAGAGAGATTATATGCTATTTGTCTTCCTCTTTGTGAGTTATTTCACTTAGCATAATGCCCTCAAGGTCTGTCCATGTTGTTGCAAATGGCAAGATTTCATTCTTGTTTTACGGCTGAATAACATTTCATTATAAATATATATATATATATATATATATATATATATATATATATATCACAATTTTTTTCTAATTCATCCATCCATCAGTGGACACTTGGGGCTGGGGGCTCCTGGGTAGATCGGTCAGTTAAGCATCTGACTCCTTTTTTTTTTTTAAGATTTATTTATTTATTTATGATAGACAGAGAGAGAGAGAGAGAGAGAGAGGCAGAGACACAGGAGGAGGGAGAAGCAGGCTCCATGCCGGAAGCCCGACGTGGGACCCGATCCCGGGACTCCAGGTTCACACCCTGGGCCAAAGGTAGGCGCTAAACCGCTGAGCCACCCAGGGATTCCCTGCATCTGACTCTTGATTTAGGCTGAGGTCATGATCTCAGGGTCATGAGCTCAAGCCTCACATTGGGCTCCATGCTCTGCAGGGAGTCTGCTTGAGATTCTCTTCTGCCCCTCCCCCCAGTCTAAAATAAATAAATGAATCTTTAAAAAAATGGACACTTAGGCTGTTTCCCTGTCTTGGCTACTGTACATTATGCTGCAAAGAACATGGGGGAGCATATATCTTTTGGAGTTATTGTTTTCCTTTTCTTTGGACAAATCCCAAAAGTAGAGTTGTTGGATCATATGGTAGTTCTATTTTTAATTGTTTGAGGAAGCTTCATACTGTTTTTCATACTGTCTGCCCCAATTTACCTTCCCACCAACAGTGCATAAGGGTTCCCTTTATTGCAAATCCTCCCCAGCATTTGTGATTTCTAGTCTTTTTGATCCTAGCCATTCTGACAGGTGTGAGGTGATATCTCACTGTGGTTGATTTGTATTTCCCTGGTAATTAGTGATAGTGAGCATCTTTTCACATACCTTTTGGCCATCTGTATTCTTCTTTGGAAAAATGTTTATTCAGATCTTCTGCCCACTTTTTAATCAGATTGGGTCTTTGCCATTGAGTTATAGGAGTTCTTTATATATTTTGGATATTTGCCCTACATGAGATAATGATTCATAAATATTTTCTCTTATTCAGTAGGTTGCCTTTTCATTTTGCCAATGGTTTTCTTGACTGTGCAGAAGGCTTTCAGTTTGATATAGTCCTACTTGTTTATTTTTGCTTTTCTTGCTTTTGCTTTTGGTGTCAGATTCTAAAATCATCACCAAGAACTATGTCAAGGAGCTACTGCCTATGTTTTCTTCTAGGAGTTATATGAATTCAGGCCTTGCTTTCAAGTCTTTAACCCATTTTAAGCCAATTTTTGCATGTGACATAAGATAGTATCATTCCTTTGCATGTAGCTGTTCAACTTTGCTAATACTATTTATCGTAAAGACTGTCTTTTGGGCTCCGCTATTGTAAATTAATTGGCCATAAATGTGTAGGCTGAGTTCTGGGCTCTAAATTCTGTTCAATTAATCTACGTGTCTGTTCTTATGTCAATATCACACTGTTTAAATATTACAGTTTTGTAATATAGTTGGAAATCAGGGAGCATGATATCCGTAGTTTTGTTATTCTTTTTCAAGATTATTTTGGCTATTCAGAATATTTTATGGTTCCATACATATTTTAGAATTGTTCGTTCTATTTCTGTGAAGAAATTCCATTGGAATTTTTATAGGGATTACAGTGAACCTGTATATTGCTTTTGGGTAGTATGGACATTTTAACAATATGAACTCTTCCAATTCATAACCATGGGATATCTTTCCATCTATTTGTGTCTTCTTCAATTTCTCTCAATAATGTCTTATAGTTTTCAGTATACAAACCTTTTGCCTCCTTGATTAAATTTTTCTTAGTTTTGTTATTCCTTTTGATGCAATTGTAAATGGGATTATTTTCTTAATTTCTCTTTCTGATAGTTCATTTTTACTGTATAGAAATGCAACAGATTTTGGTGTATTAATTTTGTATCCTGTAACTTTACTGAATTGGTTAGTTCTAACAGTCTTTTGATGGAGTCTTCAGGATTTTTTTGTATATAATATCATGACATCTGCAAATAGTGATAGTTTAGTCCTTCCTTTTTCATTTGGATGACATTTATTTCTTTTTCTTGCCTAATTAGTCTGGCTAGGACTTCCAACACTACGTTGAATAAAAGTGGCCAGAGTGGGCATGACCTAGTTCCTGATCTTAGAAGGAAAGCTTTCAGCTTTTCCCCCTTCAGTATGACATTAGTTGTGGGCTTTTCATATATGGTTTTTATTATATTGAAATACATTCCCTCTATACTTGCTTTGTTGAGAGTTTTTATCATAAGTCGATGAAGAGAGACACCTGGGTGGCTCAGTCAGTGAAGCATCCGGCTCTTGATTTCAGCTCAGGTCATGATCTAAGGATAGTGAGATCAAATCCAGGATCGTGAGATCATCAGGCTCTATACTGGATGTGGAGTCTGCTTGAGATTCTCTCTCCCTATGCCCCCTCCTTGCTCATGCTCTCTCTTCTTTCTCTAAAATAAATAAATCTTTAAAAGAATAAATTGATGTTGAATTTTGTCAGATGCTTTTTCTGAATCTATTTAGATGATCATGATTTTTATCCTTTGTTTGTTAATGTGATGTATCGCATTGACTGACTGGCAGATATTGAACCATCCCTGAATCCCTGGAATAAATCCTACTTGATCATAGTATATGATCCTTTTAATGTATTGCTGAATTCAATTTGATTAACGTTTTGTTAAGGAACTGTGTTCTTTAATTAATGAGCAGGTATGTAAAGATGTTAAAGTTGGGGGGTGGTTTCCTAAATGCCTTGATTTATAAGCTGTAAGAGTTTCCTCCAAAGCATGTTAGGCCAGTAGAGGAGGTGAACAAGTTGGGATATGCCAGAAAAGAACCAAAATCAATTGAACTGAGTATTATCACACAAAAAAATGGTACTCAACAGTATATTACATAAGGCGCTGAAAGAGGTAGCACACTGTGACTACTTCTCACTCTATAGACATATCCAAAATGGCACAACAGTAAATTTGGGGTGCTTCTTTTGAGCTCTAGAGTCAAAAGCTCTATACACACACACAGCCATTTCGTGATGGTTAAATTAATCCAAAAAGCCAGTCATTCAGATGATTGGTTTGTGAGATAAAACAACCAGTTGCCCAATCCTCTGATCAGAAAAACTGAACTAAAATTCCCATATATCATAATTTCATGATTAAAATGAAATTTGGAGTCCTTAATAGACAATATCTTTACCCTAAAAAACTCTAATGCCCCTCATTTCTGGCAAAACACTATGATAAATATTTCAGGTTGCTGAGACCTTTGAAACCTTTGAAATGACATTGCAAAAGGCATCAACCTGGCTTATCCGTGTAAAAGTCAAGCTCTAACATGTAGATCCATAATGGTTATAGTTCATGTATTTTCAATATTCTTCCTATGGTAGAGCATTTGCAATCTTACGAGTTCCACATTCCCAAGGTGGAAGTCAGAAACTATTTTTCCAGCTTCCTCTGTAACTAGGGCAAAGACATGTGACTTAATCTCAACCAATCACATACACTGGCATGAGAATTTTTTTCAGGTATGTTAAGAAAAGTTCCAAGAAGGAATACATATAGAGAGAATTCTGGAAAGATGGAGGCAGGGGCATAGTTTTTTAATTTCTCTGAATTCTCATATAAAAAGATTAACCAACTAGATAGCAAAACCAAATTGCCATGGACAACATTTTTTTTTTTTTCACTAACAACAAGTCAACTTTTTATTTACATTTGTGTCTGCCCTCAAGTCCCGGGAAAGGCTGACACCCAGGGCTAGTGGTTTCCTCCTCCCCTTCTTCCTACCCCCTCACCTCTTTCTGCTCGCTTGCTTCTCTCTCCTCCTTGCCTCTCCTTCCCTGTCCTGTCTTCTCTCCTCTCCCCTTCCTGTTTTCTTTTACATTTGCTCCCTACTCTTCCACCATCTATCTCCTCTAGACCCCTTCCCCTCGCCCCACCTGCTGTTTCTCCCCTGCCCACCCATAGCCCTGCCTCCCTGAGGTTCAGCCTCTGGGCCTAGGGTCCTCAGCAGAGGGAGCACTTGCTGGTGTTCTTCTTATCACAGGGTTTCAGGTCAGTGCCGGGGGGCTTATGGCTGTTTCCCAATCTCCGGCCTCCTGACTTGAGCAGGATGTCCCGGGCCAGGGAACTGAAAGCCTCATCCACATTCGTGCTGGATTTGGCACTTGTCTCAAAGAATCGGATTCCATGCTCCCGAGCCAGCTTGATGGCCTGCTCCTTCTGCACCTTTCTCTTGGCCTCCATGTCACACTTGTTCCCTAGAAGCAGGCGCTCCACCCCAGCTGAGGCATTCTCTTTGATGCTTTTCATCCAGTTCTGGATATTCTCAAAGGATTTCTCATTTGTGATGTCATATACGAGGATAATGCCCATGGCTCCATGGTAATATGCAGTAGTTATTGTCTTGAATAGCTCCTGGCCAGCTGTGTCCCAGGCCTGCAACTTGATCTTCTTCCCCTCTACATCCACAGTGCGGATCTTGAAGTCAATTCCAATGGTGGAGATGTAGGTGTTGTTGAAGCTGTCCTCGGCGAAGCGAATGATGAGACAGGTCTTGCCCACGCCCGAGTCCCCGATGAGCAGCAACTTGAAGAGGTGGTCGTAGGCTTTGGCCATGGCGGACACTGGGGGCGCCATGGACAACATTTAAACAAAACTAGATGACAACATTTCCTCCTCAAACTGCGAAATACAAGATCATCAACTGTCACGCAGTCTACATGTTCTCAAAACCTGTTTAAGAGAATGCAGAGTGAAGAAAAAGGTGTCTGCTGGAATTGAGAGTAGGAAAGTTACCAAATAACCCAACAGGTATGTAAAGGAGAGCTCAGTGGGACAACTTGAGAACAGCAGCTGAAGCCAGAAGGGCTTTGCCTAATCCAATAGTGAGTAAATACAAGAGTTTTTCAGTAAGAACTACTGGGTCTGGAGAAGTCAAGCCTCTGTGAATTCCTGGAACTGTTAAGGTGAGGCTCCCTTTCAGGACAGGCCTCCACACAGAGGAGAAGCTTCTGGAAAGGGAATCAAAACTGAGTGGATAGAGACAAAGGAAAGAGAAAACCCAGTTAAAAGTGAGGGAGAAGAACAGAGTCAGGAACATTACACAAAAAAAACAGAAGATAAAAATTAGAAACAACACTGTCAATCATGCCTGGTTCTAAAGGTTCAGGAGAATTGATTTTTTAAATGAACAACACACAAATACCAAGATGAAATCCCATGTGAAGTTATTATAAGAAAAAAATAGATTTAAAAAAGCTATTTAAAAATCTCTATAAATCGTGAAAACCCACCAGAAGGACTTGTGTAAAACCTGTAACCTCCTATAAAAAAAAAAAAAAAAAAAAAACTAAAAGAAATTTTTTAAGGATACAAGCCACGAAAGAACAACATAAATCAAAACTAAGAAAAACTCAGAAATAAGATGCTAGAACTCTGGAAATACTGTATAAAAAAGAAAACATCATTTCAAAACTTGGAAATGAAGAGAAAATTGGAACGAATAAATACAATACCTAATGCCTTAAGAGAAATAGAAAAATGTTTTAGAAGGAAATTTTAAAATAAAATAGGAAAAGGGGCACCTAAGTGGCACAATTGAGTGCCTGATTCTTGGTTTTGGCCTAGGTCATGATCTCAGGGTCCTGGGATCAAGCCCCACATCAGGATCTACATTCAGCAGGAAATCTGCTTGGGGATTTGCTCTCTCCCCCCACCCCCTGCTCTCTCTCCCTAAAAATTAATTAATTAGTTAATTAATTTAAAAAGAAATTGAGAAAAATAAAGAGGATATGAAAGAGATCAGCAAATATGGAAACAAGGAAAGAAGAGCTGACACAGGATAATAGGAGCTGCTGAAGAAGAAAACCAAAGCAAAGGACCAGAACAAACAAACACTAAAAACTTTATTTCAAAAACTATTCAAGGGGCACCTGGGTTGCTCAGTGGTTGGGCGTCTGCCTTAGGCTCAGGTCATGATCCCAAGGTCCTGGGATCAAATTCCACATTGGGCTCCTCTTAGGGAGCCTGCTTCACCCTCTGCCTGAGTCTCTGCCTCTCTCTTTGTGTCTTTCATGAATAAATAAATAAAATCTTTAAGAAAAAAACTATTCAAGAAAAAGGAAAAAGTAATTGAAACTACATATTAAAAGAGCACACAAAGTAGCTAAAAATACCACCCCAGAATGACCGACACTAAAATATATTCTAGGAAAAAATTACTGAAGATGAACAGGTGATGATCTTTATGATACGGAGGTTAACTTTACATCAGACTTTCTGACAATAAAACTTTATGCCAGAAGAAAATAAAATAATGTATTAATAATGCAATAATTAATGTATTTAAAACTAGCTTTAAAGTATAAAGAGCACAAAATGTTAACATGCAAGAAATCAAAGAATATCATTACCATCCAAAGCCCTTTCTGAAGAATCTGCTAGAGATCAAGCTTCAGACAAACAAAATGACCAGAGACATTGACATAAGGATTGGTGAAGAGCATCCAACAGTCTTAGAACTAACACTAAGTAAGCCTTAAAGGGAAGAGAGTAAAGTATTTGACAATTATATGTTCAGGTCAAGTAGAAAGTATAGCACAACTGTTTAAATGGAGGGAACGAGAACCTTTGAGAAAGATGTCTGAGTGTTCATAATTCCACTTGTGGTGGTAGTAGTAGTATTGTTAGTCTGAGACTTTACATGAGATAAAATAAATGGGTAATTTTAAGATATTCTGATTATATTATACTCTGTATTTGGGAATTAAGATAATCAGTATGAAAGAAAGGACCTACAGATTAAACATACAAAATGTTAAGTTTAAGAAAAGCCTAGTCATAAATGTGAATGGGAAGTACCAGTTATAAATAAACTCCTGAGGTACCCTATCTTCTATTTTGTCTTAAAAACACATATAATATTACATAATTATATATATATAGGTATATATATATATATATACACACACATATATGCTAGCTTTGTCCACTGAAGAAACCTAGAAATAATGGCCAATCCAGTAGCAACAGACACTATTAGTGACCAGATTGTGGTCTTGAAATGTCATTTCGCACTAAAAGAAACCAAGGTTTCTTATAGAAATGACCGATTCTGGTCTGAGGCACAAAATGCACAAAATGAGCCTGTCATGTCAGACAATAAGGAAACTATTAAAGACCACCAGGGTCACGTCAAAAGGACTCATGAACCAAACCGAAGAGGCCTCCACTAAGCAAAAGATGGAACAACTTAAGCTTTGAAAATGATATCTGCAATTGATTTGAAATAGCCTAGTGCTCAGGTTTTAATCAAACATATTTCGATCTATGAATTCATGATATTATATACATTTTATAACTAATTAGTCACCTTTAGAGAATGATAGAGTAATAAGAATCCATGTATGGTCTTGAAAACTATTTTAAAAAGGGAAAGAAAAAAATCAAACATTTATCCTGCCTTTCTATTTTAATGAGAACAATGGAGTAATGCAGAAGTAGATAAGAGGAAGAGCATATCTTTATTAAATTATTTCAACAAAAGAATTTTTAGAGAAATAGTAAAATTAGAAAAAAAAAAACCACCACTTTGCACCCCCCAGTGAATTGATGGATCTGGGCAATAACTACTGATAGCTGCTTTCACCACAGAAATAAAGATAATCAGACATTATGTGCATCCCAATAAAAGGATATTTCATAGATGATGTCATATGTCATAACGCATCACATGCTGTAATAAACTTTTTCAGTATCGGGATGCAAAATTCAATCACTTGGTGAAGGTGGTGTATGCATGAGATTTTGATTTGGAAACGATGGTTTAAAAAACTAAAATTTAAAAAGAGAAGGACATCACCCAGGATTCTCTCTGGCAAGAGGGCAGAGCACATGAGAAGGGAGGCATCTGGCTTTCATGGGCAACTTGGCAGGGGTTCTAGTAACAGTGCCTCAAGCCCAATGTTGGCCACAGTCAATTTTCTACTGGAACAGCCCAGCAATGTAATCAATGTAATTCAGCCATCGTTTCTAAGTGCAAAACTCTCTTGGAAATTCTCTGAACTACAACTACCTAATTGGCGTTACCAGATTCCCCCACCCCCTGAATGGATCCTGTTGTTTATAATTAAAGGACCCTGACTGATACAGGATCCAAAGGATTGACAATAGTGTATGGCGCGTGTGTGTGTGTGTGTGTGTGTGTGTTTAAATTAACGAGTCTCCATACATTGCCATTAATTTCTCCAAATTCATTTTAAAAGCCTAGAGTGGCTGACAAAAAGGAGCTATTTGCTTTGATCAGTGTTTGCCTCTGAAAGCCTTCAAGAAGATAAGCAGAAGCTTGGCTTTCATAGAACTCTGTGTATTTGACAGCTGTTGGGAGTGTATGTACTGTAATCTTTGGTTTTATATAAACCTGACAAGAGAGTGACAATGACAAGCCTTTCTCAGAAAATTCTGAAAGAATCGTTTATGCTGGAAGCAATTAAGCCTGAAAGCACACTCCACATTCATGTTTATTCAACATCTACGTGTCTTTTCTGTACCACACTTTCTAGCACTTCCGAAGGTTGTTTTGCATATGTATTGTGGCAAACTGTAATAGAGCTCAAAAATACTCACTGCGTCTGCTTAGGGGAGAGTAAGAGTTTCTCTTCCTAATCATGTTGGGCTTGGCCATGCGACCTGATTTGGCCAATGGAAGATGACAAGTAATGTATGTCACGTCCAGCTCTAAGAGCCAGTTTGGGCTTTGCCAAGCTCTCTTTTCCCTCTGCTCCAGTGTTCCAGATAGAAGCTTCTCTGTCAGCCTGAATCCCAAGGCAGGACGCCGTGAAGCAGAGCCATAGCTCACTCGCGATGGACATAGCATGTAAATATGTGGAGACAACCTCGTAAGCCATTGAGCTCCAGAACGCTTTTTCCGCAGCGTAACCTGGCTTGTGTGTTCATCGCTTATTATTGACACCAGCTACTGATTTTCAGCCCTGTTGATAGACCAGTGCATTCTAACCTCATTATGATGTAGATACTAGTTTCTCCACTCTGCAGACGAGGAGACCAGACATGCAGAGGTTAGATAACCTGACGCCTGACTAGAACCGGCAGTGAGATCTAGGCCTGAGTCAGGCTAATGCCAGAGTCTCCTGCCTTTTACCTTTTTTTTTTTTTTTAAGATTTATTTATTTATTTTGGAAAGGGAGAAGGTAGTGGGAGAGAGAGAGAAAGAATTTCAGGCAGACTCCCAGCTGAGCGCAGAGCCCAACACAGGGCTCGATCTCATGACCCTGAGATCATGACCTGAGCTGAAACCAGGAGTTGAACACTTAACCGACTGAGCCACCCATGTGACCAGGTGACCCCAGATGCTCCTGCTCTTAGAACTACTCACAAATTGGGTTAGGAGTGCACTTGTCATGATGAACGCCGGGTGATGTATGGAAGTGCCGAATCACAATCTTGTACACCTGAAACTAACAGTACACTGTTAATATTAACTAACTGGAACCTAACTAAAAACTTAAAACAAAAGAACAAAAAAAGTACCCCCAACTTGAGAAACTCTCGACAGACACAGCCATCCGTGTGTAGCCTCCGTAGCATCCGTGGGCTCGTGGAAGAA